GAAAATAATTTTTGCCATAAATTTGAAAGCATGCATGGCTGCGCGCCTAAAAGTAAACTATGCAACTATTATGAAGAAGAAGTTGAGGCTTCGTTGCGTCTGCCTTTCATGTGGCTTGCGACATTGACATACCAATTAAAACGCCTAGCTCTTAGATGGCTCAGCAAATGCGTGTTTTGACGGGTTGGTGCGCTCATACATGCTAACATGTGTATATGCGTGAGCAAAAACAATGCTATTACAACACCATTTGCATAACTGCGGTCACATTTGGTACTTTGCAGGCTGGTTTCTGGCGCGTGTGGCATGCACCAATTTGTATATGAATATTTTATAGCCAACTTTYGACGTATGTGTGTGGAAAAGTGTAAAATTTCTCATTGTCAACAAGCATATGTCACATAATCTTTCATATTTTCACCTAAACGACCCCTGCCAGGTCCTCGTGGATCACAAGCGAACACACAAATGCGTACATACCACCTACACATCCGCTTTCTATGTTTCTATACAGCATACCACATGCCACATGCCACAAGCCACATGCGGTGTATACAATTTACTTTGTGCCCTACATGCAACAGTCTATTCATATGTGTGTGTGTTTTTTTGTATGCATATGTGTGTCTGTCGCGAAATAGTTGGCATAGCAAAATTTTAATTAATACAAAATGGAAAAGTTACGGCGCAAGCAGTGAAGCGGAGATATCAAACCGCAAACAAGTAGAAACGCACTCACACAGCCTTATATAAGCATATACATACATTATACACATATTTGGAACTTTGTTTGTGTGTCTAAGCAATTTTAATGGATGCCAACAGAATTCGGTTTGGTCGTGTTTGAAAACGTCAGCTGAAAAAGATCTGCTACATCAACAATAAAGAAAGTAACAAACTTGTAAAATTCCAAGTGCCAAATACATATATTATTTATAGTTAGAGGACTTTGAGAATAGAAATAAAGTACGCCGTTATATATTACTAAAACGCGTTTTGAAGAGATTTCGATTGCAGATTGTACAGCATTGCTTTGAAGAGAATATGATCGAGACTACGAACTTTGTTTGATTCCGCGCCATCGTTCGATAGCCATTTTTCCGCATAGACGTGGTAGATAAAAATAAATCTTATTCGATCCTTTACGAGGAATATTGTCCTCTAAAAGCCAAACTAATAGAGAAACATAAAACTATATTATCAAATAATTCATAATGGATCACAAGAGGCGACCGTTAACTTCATTCATTCGACAACTTTATTATACCGTCTTTTGCTGTAGATTTAATCATATTGGTTCGTATTCGCATTTGGACTCGCTTTAGATGTCAACAGTATGCCAGTTGATTTATGTAATATCGCATGCTTACAAAGCCTTCGACCCTAGCTGCTCTTGTAAAACTGTACTTCCCACATTTAAGACCCGAACTCATCTAGTACAAACAACTCTATGTGTTGTCTAACTTTAGCATCCTACATAACAAAGTTCTAACTAAGATTCTCCAAATTGAAGCTATGGATGCTGTTAAATCACGCCACGGAACTACACATGACCACCTTGGGTGTCTCGACACGGTTCCTTTGTTCTCGGTTGTCTTGACACAGTTTGGTTGATATTTTCGCCTTCATTATTGCTTACAAAGACTCCTTAGATCGTGTTTATGACTATATGCTATCGTCATCTAATAACCATCCTAATATAGAAACATAGTTTTTTATATAATCTTCAGAAATCAGTCTGAAAAAATATAACGCATATAACACTAATTACTATCTGATTGCTTTAGCTCTTTAAACATTCCTAAATGCTTCTGAGACGTTGGTCTTTAGCTGAAAAAAAAAAAAAAAAACGAGGCCGTTCCAATGCCATGAATGTCGCGTACGCTTTGTGTTGAATGACATTTTTTTTTTTGGTTTGAGATAGGAAATAGGTAAACAACTCATTAATTTTATTTAAAGGAACTTTCTTTACACAGATACCCTAAGTAATATATTGAAAAACTTTATACTCGTATTGTCATTCTTATGGGTGAATATTAGCCAGTCGAAACTATGTACAAAAATTAGATATTGTATTAGGCCTGATTTAGTATTAAAACAGGTTGATTAGTGGGTTCGACTACTTTTTAAATTCTGAAAATTATCATCAAATGTCGTAACCAAACGTTAACCCCAATGAACACCTAACTACATGTTATAGTCAATAATTAGCTTAAAAGCAAAAAAATAACAGCAAGGCTTATAGTCTGAGGTACGTTTCATTCCCTTACGGCTAGCCGCGAGCGAAGAAAGTTCAGTTTTCTAGTCGAACTTTGTCAGCTGGATCGCAGTTTGTACTCGGAAAGCATTTTCATACTTCTCGCTTCAAACATATTTCTATTTCTATTTCTATATTAAGAATACTTAAATTCTCCTGAGTCCTCCTAAACTCAAATCCAAATTTCTTTTCCACTTTTTTCAAACTTTCACCATTAAAACCTGCGCCCTAATTCTATTTTTGTCCCTTAAAACTTTTTGTTTTGACAACAAATTACACATTAATTAAGGGTCCATAAAACATTTTGTCATTCCTTTTTGACACTTACAATTTTGTTTGTACTTAAGCAAAACAACACTTTACCTCTATTTATCTTTCATTTATGCCCAAGCATTTATCCGACTATTTACTTTGTCTCACCTTTTTATTTTCCACCTCCAATGCAGCTTTCCACATCGTATCTTCAGAAACTCTCGTTATGCTGTCCTTTTGGACTTCACTTGGCCCACATTTGTTATCTCTTCACAACACATTTTTCTTGTTATGCCGTTGTTATTTCTCATATTATTCTACTTTTCATCTTTTCCAACATTCTATCCGCCTTCGCATCTGATGCATTCTGGGCAACTTCATACTCATTAGGCTACTTAAGGGATTAGGTAGCAGCTCTTACGTGAGTTCAGTTATATATAGTGTGGCTATTTAACGGAAAATACTCATGCAGCGAGTGGATCCCTGGAAAGTAAAAACATTTTAGTATAGAAATAAATATTTTTTTTGTGTGTGCTTGTGGTCTGCTACGCAGCTAGTTGGATAAAACAAGAAGTTTTTATATTGCTACTAGCGACTATTAAAGAAGGCTCCTGTGAAATCTGTTTTTTGTGAACCTTCTAAGAATTGGCTCTTATTTTGTAAATTGAATTTACGAATATTTATCGTTTTCTAAAACAAAAAACCTGGTATACAAAATGATTCTGAATTATCATGTCACCTTATAGATAATTTCGGTTTTACTTCCGCATAAACAAAATGTGTAAAATTTAGTAGAAAAAATTTTAGGGTACTTGAGACAGTGGGCACCTCGATGAAAATATCGGAAGTCAGAGAGACAAAAATACGTGCCAAAGTGGATACTTGTTCAAACTTTTAAGACTTAACATTGGTTACTTATTGCTTTTATCACAAACAAGAACTTTAAGTTTTACAATGGAGACATTTTGTACTGAGATTTCTCTAAACTTTTTCTGGAGCTTTCCCAAAATAAGATATTATTTGTACTAGCTAATTATTATTACCGAATGTTGAGCTTGCTCTAGAGCCAAAAATGGTGGTGGTCTTAAAAAAGACTCAGTTTTATCAAGTCCCCTCGTATTGCAACTGGCTATTTAGCACCTGCCACGTATCAAGTGTTTGCGTTTTTGTTTAACTTTTCCAAATCTTCCATTTCCTTCACTTTTTGTTCATTCCGTATTTGTTTTGTTTTCTTCAACTTTTATGAGCCTGTTTACACTGTCGCTATGCCCGACAGCTGGCTGTTAGAATGCTCAGAAAAAGTACTTCTAAAGCCTTAACTAAAGTTTGGGTTATTATTATACCTTTTAAAGTATGAGTTTGTTGTCAGGATAGCACACTTTTAACGAGTTGGTGTTGCTTGTCAGAACTTAATTTGTTTACATTAAGTAATTAAATATTTAAAACTGATGCTGGTTTCGAATGTGTTTGAATTTAAAGACTTATAAGTTTTATTTCCCGTTGAATGAGAGGGTTTTCGAGTTAGCACTGTCCTAGAATCGCGTGTCGGTTCTCATGAAAATTTCTGAAAAGTTTTCATTCCGGCGAAATTAGAACCCATGATCCACCGATCGTTCGGTGGTGGTTTCTTTCGCTTTGATATAAGTTTCGATCCTTGTGATGGGTTTCGAAAGATCATAGTATCCTAATAAGGAGTTGAGGGCACATATAGTATACTCAGACTAAATTTCTTTTTCCTTAAGCTTCTATTATGGATGTTGGCTAAAAAAGCATAGTCTGAAAGAAGACGATCGCTAGACTATAAAAACATGCGTATAAGAACAAATTGTATGTTATTTCTTAATGAGTTTCGTAGCCTTCTGGAACCTTCAACGTTGGGTAAACATTTTCTCGCCCCAACCTAAACTTTGCATACACAAGTGCATACTCCTTCCTTTGCTATATCAAACATAAGCTCTTTGGGTGAACTGGGCTTAGCTGATATGACCACACTTACATTTCCTCTTCGAAGAACCGAAAAATCTTCAGATAAGAAAAGTTGGATCAAAATTATCTGATAATCCAGTATCTTAAGTGTATTTTGCTTTTCTGGTTGTGTGTGATTCCAAATTAAATGTTTCAAGAAATAAGCTTCAGAGCTTGGGAGCTCCACCCCAGTCTTCAAAGAACTTATCAAAATTACTGAACATTTAAACAAATAATTACCGTAGTTATATTGAATTTAGGCCACTTCCTATACGCAGTGCTAAGTATAAGATCTACATCTATAGGATCTTCGGAAAATATGCACGAACATTCGTAGTTTTGTAAGTAGCTTCAGTTAAAACTTCAAAGCTGGTGTGCTACCGAGGCTGTGAAAATAATTTTTTAGAATTCTAACGGCCTTTTAGTCTTTAGTTTCAAAGTAGTTTATGTTCTTCATAAGAAATTATTTATGGTCCCCTGAAAATCTTTATCACACATACTATTTTTTATGTCTCTCTTCAGGTGACCGTTATTAATGGAAATAATGTTTAAGCTGCTGGTGGTACTAACAACATCAACGTGCTTATTTTCGACTGTTAATTCCGGTGTACCAATTGGTGTGTACAAAAACTTTTTAATTTAGAAAAATATCTTTAAGAAACGTCATATACGTCATTTTCTACAAATATCTACCTCGTTGTAGCAACTGGTGGTCCATCACTGATCTACGAAGGCAAAGACGCCTTGCTCACATGCGTTGTCTCAGAGAACCGCGCTAATCACACAGTGATATGGAAGAAATCCGACGAAATACTCACTGCCGGTATGGTGAGAGTGACGAGCGACACACGTGTAAGTGTGTTGCATGACGAAAGTGAATGGAAGAAAGGTACCTACACGACAAAATGATGACCAGGGGTAAAATGTATTAAAAATATATGTTATTTCGTTTAGATCCCAAAGGACTCGAGTCTGGCGGTGAGGTGTGGGTGTTACTAGTGAAGCGTTTGACTACCGAAGATTCAGGTAGCTACATCTGCGAACTGAATTCGGAGCCCGTGCTCCGGAGCATACATATACTCACAGGTAAGTGTTGGAAAGCGAAACTCTCGTTTTCGGAATGTGCATCACTCAGTATAAACAATTTTTCATATTAACAACTTCCTTTGTACAGTCAAGCAGATACCCAACGGAAATGATAACATCACGACCACCACAGAGTCGAGTGATGTCTATCTAGTGCCGCCGCCACTCGACGCCACAGACAATCGTTCGTTTTGGCGTGCGCCCACGGTTGCGCCTCAAATCACACACGATTTCACCGAATGCTGTGAGCGCGCTAACGTCACCGCCGAGTGCATGGGCTTCTGCAATGTACACAACATAATCGACGGTACGACGGGCATAGAGCCCGAAGCTTGTGAGAAGGATTTTCCAAACATTGTACGTTGCATGGCGGATGGACGTGATCATGTGCCCTGCTGTGTGGACAAACAGATACCGGATTTGTGTCAGGATATGTGTCGCGGTGAATACACACCTTTCACGGATCTCCTAAAGACTCGCGTATCTTGCGTACATCATACCCTCAGTGGTTTGCAATGCATACTGCAGGGCGTGCAGAATATACCCAGTACACCGACGAGTGTTACAGTTGATCATGTGTCGGAGACACGTGTCACGGTGCACTGGTATGAACCGGAAAAGTTGGCGCATAAAGTCGCCTATTACAGTGTGAATTTAACGGCGCTACACAGTTTCGATGAGGATGAAGTGTCCAATGCGTATGCATGGAAGAAACGTCCATTAGAGCAGACCATCATACGCACAGTGCCGGTTAATCAGACAACGCTCACACTACAGGATCTTACTCCGCTCACAATGTACGCGATCGTGGTGACCGCGCATAATGATTACGGTTCGAGTTTGCCCAGCGAACGTTTGCGTGTGTTCACTCATACCAGTGAGGTATTCGCACCACGAAATGATGATGCCGAAGCTTCTGCTTCGGTGGAGAGCATTATGCCGGAGCTGCCAAATATACGTAGCTGTTGTGAGGCCAAAGGCATGACGCATCGTAAGTGTCTCGATAAGATGTGTGATCCACAGAAGACCGATCTCGCTACACTGCCCGACTTTATGGTCTGCGCACCTTGGTCCAATATTACCTTTACTTGTCTGGCAAATAAAATCGATCACACACCCTGTTGTCGTGCGCGTGGCATACCGGCTGTGTGCTTTCCGCTATGCTCAGGCAAAATATCAACACTAGACTTTAGTCTGTTCAAGTGAGTATTAGAATTTGTGATGCCGAAATTATTCCTCTTAAGCGACATATATTGTTGTAAACTTTTTTCTAGGTGCCTACGCTTCATGTCCGAGTATAGCAGCTGCCTCTTCCAGGGTTACGGCGTGCTCGCTGATCCACCTTCGATGATACGTACGGTGGCAAAGGCCGATAATTTTATAATTTTGGACTGGGATAAACCCAAACGCTTGGCCGACACAATCAGCACTTATCATGTCAAGTTTAGACGTTTGGGCGAAGGCGACGACTATCTGACTGTGGTGAAGGTAAGTCTTAGATGAGACTGTTGACAATAGGTGACCAGTAACAGTAGTAAGTCGGTGGAACTGGATGGGGTTGATATCGAAAGCACTACGTCACAAATTTAAGGGTGTTGTGGCGGAAACATTCCCTATTAATTTTGAGGAATACAGCAGCATTAACGGTCTTTATCTGTTAAAACTCCAGGTCCGTTCCTTTTATTTAGATTCGATTATTATGGAAAGTATTTTGGCCCGTATTAAGTATTGACTTATAATGCCAAATAGTTTTGATGAAGTCAGATTTGAGAGTCTTTGCCCTTCATCCAGGTCTGTTCCTTTTGCTTAGAATCGATTGTTCGGGAACGACCTATTTTGGTCGGTACTAAATTTTGGTATAAACAACTGTCTACTTTTCCACCTTCCCGTGTTTAGCAGTTAGCCTTAGAGCTCCTCCGTCTTCTAGGATACTCTTAGTAGTTTTAGCTCTACCGGTAAAATTATACAGCTTAGTTTAGCCGAAGCTCCTTTGGATTTTGCTCGATGAATTATTGTCGGTTCGTTACTATTGACTAGTCGGAAGAGTTTCTCGATCCATAGAGTTATCTTACTTATACTGAAGCTAATTAAGGGAGATCTATAGCTCTAATTCTTCCATACCTCGAAGTTAGGCATCTGATTTAAAAGCGCTCATAAGCTTTGTAAACCCTTAAAAACATTGTATACATTTTTCCTCTCTAGAAAAACCCACCACTCATCTTGGAGGGACTTGAACCCGAAGTCTACTATGAATTCTACGTAGTGTCTGTGAATCAATATGGCAAAAGTGAAGCTTCACCACGCCTTATTACACGCACACAACCCGCCGAGGCGGCGGATGAGCCCGAACCGGTTTACAATATGACAAAATGCTGTCAGGCATCCGGCTTGCTGCCACAATGTGCGCCCCTCTGTTCGTACAACATTAAATTGTCGGATATTGAAAAGCTTGGACCGGCGTGTCGGGCACAAATGTGTAAGTAAAAGCAATGGAGTGAGAAGTGAAGATAAATGTTTGACACAAATTTAATTTAATATTTTTGTAATTCATGCTATGCTACATTTTCTCTCACTTTTCCTATCGCCCTCTCTCTTTTTTTCTCGTGTCTCTTTGTAGCGGTTATTGTGCGCTGCGCCGCCGGTGGACGTGATCATACGCCCTGCTGTCAACGCCGCGGCGTGCCCACCGCTTGCATGACCATCTGCCGTGGTGTTATGCCGCACTACGCGAACGGCGTCGGCAGCAATGCGGGCGCGCTGAGTGGCAGCAGCTATAGCGGTAGCAATGGCACGACCTCCAGTGACTGTTTATCGTACGCGGGAAATATTTTGCAGTGCATCGAAGAAGGTGAGTGAAACGCTAAGTACTTGCTTAGTTGTTGACTTAAATTTAATGTTTGGTTGTCAATGGCGCAGGCCGAGGTTGTCGGCCGGCTGTCTAGGTGCGCTGTTGATTGTATATTGTAGACATTTATGTTAATTTTATTTTTATTTATTTTTTATCCTGAATATATATTAAGTTTACGACGAAGTTGATAACACCCAGAAGGTACCGTCGGGGAGCCTAGCCAGCGTAGCTGAACCATGTCAATGTCGTCGTATATCTCGTACAGCGGTATTCGCCGTTGCCAAAGCGCGAATAACCATACATCTTTCGTAGAACCTTTCTCTCGAAAATTCGTAACGTCAACTCATCAGATGCTATCATCGTCCATGCCTCTGCGCTATATAGCGGGACGGATATAATGAGTGACTTGTAGAAATTGGTCTTTGCCTACTCAGTCCGAGGTATCAGTTATTGACAAGTATTATTCTGCGTTGGATTTCCAGGGTGACGTTGTTGCTAGTGTTAACACTGATTCCAAGATAGTCGAAATTATCTACGATTTCAAAGTTATTACTGTCAACAATGGCGTGGGAACCAAGGAGCGAGAGCGACGACAGCAGATGAATATCTGCTAGTTCTCCAGGCCTAAAGCCACACTGCTAAGGTCAAATCTGTTTGTTGACGGTAGGCTCTAATCTGTCATGCAGTACGATCGATTAAACAATATATACGCTGTTGAGGAGACTTCTCCCACGGTAGTTGGTGCAGATTGTGGGGGTTTCCTTTTCGTGGATTGGGCAGAACATACTTAAATCCCAATCATTGGGGATGGTTTCGTCCGACCATATTCTGCAAGAAGCTGACGCATACCTGATAAGGAGCTCCTCGCCGTCGTATTTGAATAGTTCGGCCGGCAATCCATCAGCCTCAGCCGCCTTGTTTTTGATTAGGCGGGTAATTGCTGTAGTCGCTATACTATACTACAATATTGGAAGAAACTTTCCAGTTCGGATTACCATAGCATATAGCTGCTATTAAAACAGATCGATCAAAATCAAAGTTAACGTTTCTACTTAAATTTTTTGTTATTTTTTTATTATTGCTATTTGAGACACTACTGGTTATGTCTGTAATAGTTGGTTTTCGCTGTTATTGTTATTCATACTTGTTGATATTTCTCAGCACACACACATGTGTTGCTTTTATTTGCCCGCTCAAGCGAAATAAAGTCTAGTTGCATGCTGCTCACATGCTTGCCACACTCATTTATTTGGCATTTTATTGTTGTCTGCACTTTATTATTATTGTAAAACATAGTAAAACAAACAGTAAAATTACATTTCATTGTATTAACCTGTATTATTGTTGTCAAGTAGCAATCGAGCCAACACTTACACACTCAGAGGTCTGCGCTGGCATTCAACTGCAACAATCTTGCTGACTGCCACAGCTAAAGGCAGCAAATGACAACAACAATAGCAGTGCTAGTTACGGCTTACAGCAATATTAGCTTTGCGCTTGCTAGACAATGAGTGACATCAACAGCCTTTGTATTTGCCAATTAAGCAACAATTAAAGCCAATTTGATTGAGCAGCTTGTGCAAATACACATACATACATACATATACTCATACACGCTTGCAAGCACTAATTTGCGTTTAAATTCACTTAAGCTCTCAAAGACAGCCGAACATACCACGTTTTCTGTATGTATACAAGTAGAATTTGTACATATTTATTTACATGTCAGCCTACACTCAAGTTAATATTTACCTGTGTACTCGTATTATGTGTGCACTTACACACGCATAGGATCATTATCGGCGGTTGCATCTTCCGCCAAGGATATACAAGTTTTGGAAGTGGTATAGAGAAGCATATATTTTTTGTTATATTGTTGTAATTGTAATATAAAAATCTATTTTTTTTCCTGATAATAAATGTGACAATGTTATATGATCTTCCAGTTTGCGGAAGGTTATGTCCTTTTTCTGCTTGCTATTAAGTTAGGATAGTTAGATCGCCCTAGTCCCTCAATTTTTGAGATATGGGTACCAAATCGCGTCCTTTTCTCCTTATCGTAAGAAAGTGCCTTCGTGCCATATGGGGCACCCACTAAAATAGTCCCCTTTTTTATCGCAGCTGGACGGTCTGCGTCTATATCCTTTTCTTCCTTATATATATTTTTTTCTTAATTCCTCGAATGTCACCTAAATAAGGTATGGTTGGCATCGTTAACTGGTTCGTATCCGTAAATATGAGCATGATTTGCTGTCCCAGGTTGTACAGGTAATTTCGGAAATACCTGTGACCTGGGAGCCTCTGTGTTAAGTACTAGTCCACCTCGCACTGTTTTCTGCTGTGCCGCATCTCTTTATCTATAATGTGTCCATCTTCCTTTGCGCTCTATTGTCCATCGGTCTTCCTAGAACTTAGGCGATCCTGTCCGCTAACTTTAGCAATTGAGGATTTTTTATCTGACGGCTTTTGATATAGCGTCTCTTGACACTCTGTTGTTGTTTTCTTGAAGCATTCCTCTCGGTTGTGGATAATTTTTTTTATATGCCTAACCCTAATCTACTGGTACTCTTGATCAGGGACTGCTTATGGCGTATTCACGGCTAAGAACACTAGTTCGCCAGCTGGAGACCTTGGTGGTCTGACAGTTAGTTTAAGTAGTTCCTCGAATCACATTTTTTTACAGATTGGATTATATTAGATTTCTTTAGTGGTTTTCATTTCATTATTACGATTCAGTCATTAGTAACAACTCTGCAGTCATCAGTTCAGCCACTTAAAACTATCTCTAAGCATTTTATTTCAACAATTAAATTGTCTTTAAATTACCTACTCACCTCCAAAAATTCTGAAAAATTTGGCTTGCCAAATAATAAAGCAATAGATCTCTTTATAAACACTAAATAATTTTTGCGTCTCTTTCTATCTTTTGCTCTCACTTTATTTTCACAGGCACCGAGAGCATACCCGGCCCAGCTGAGGACGTGCACGCCATTTCGGTAACAAATACCACAATTAGCTTGACTTGGCGTCAACCCGGCTACGAGGCAAGCGCACCCACCGCAGCAACAACAACAACCACAGACAATGAAGAGGAGAACACGAAGAAAAGCACTACTCCGAGTACCGCTGGCAGCGCGAACAATGGCGAGAACAACAACAACTCCGGCAACACTAATGACATTGCCACTGCTGGGGGCAGTGATGCGTCGACGTCCAACAGCGCTGATGATATCGATTTTATCGTGCAATATGGCAAAGTCAATAACATGACACTCTATGAGACTGTGGCGAAACTGGAAAATGTGAGTAGCAAGCGAAACATACACACATGCAAATATATATAGAAATATACACATCAATGTTCACAAATCCATAGCAAGTGTGTCTTAAACTCTTCGTTGGTTTTCAATTCACTTGCGACCAGCAACTTCAATTGACAAAGTTGGGCTTTCAAATACACCCACACAAACATAAATTCACTCAGTTAGTGGCATCGAGGCGCTTGTTTGCTCTTGAACTGTGGATTCGTATACATATTTGCGGCGGCTGGTCGCAACAGTCACAGAAACAGTTGGATCTGTGGGGACACTTCATTTATTACCGTTTCTTTTTGGGAGTTTTTGTTGGTTTTTCTCGTTTTGTTGGCCTGCCATGCAAATTAGCCAGCTTAGCCGCTAGTAGCAGCTCTGTAACCAATGCGAGTGCATTTACATTGTAGCATTCTGGCTTCGACTTTGGAATTGGTTTTGGCTTCTCGAATAGTTGGCTTTGTTTGCTGCTGGGGACTGTTGCAGGCCTCCGGATAATATCGCTGCGCAGCTGGGCTGCCATATTTTGTAGCTGTTTAATTTCGGAACTGTTTGCTTGGCTTAATTGTGTTTGCCGCCTTGAAAATTTTGGCTTTCCAATTGCCAATATTGGAATTTAAAAATGGTTGCATTCAGAAAAGTCGTCTAATTAGGTTATTTGTATAGATACTTTTGAAGCTATGGATTGAGAGACGATGACGAGAATTAAGGAATCATTTCGATTGGGCTGTTTTGTGCTAATGAGGCTATTAAATTTCGGAGAAATTAAAATCCTTGGTAATATCTCTTCAACGATATATTATAAATGTTTACATGCTAAGCTAGTGACATTATTTTCATATAATCCTGGGTTACATGAATGTGCGTGTAAGTTTCTGAGGCATTTTTAATCCATGATTATTATTATTGCTTTTGACCAAGCTAATGTTAAATTAGAAAAAATCACGAAAACAAAAAAAAAAAAAAAAAAATCCAAAATAAGAGTCAGCAGGGAACGTCAGAGAAAACAAAAAATATATAGAAATATAAATGGTGGGCATGAATAGCTGAATATATTAAGCCATGTCCCTATGACTGACAGCATATATGCAAATACCACTCGGTTTTTGAAATATCAATATGAAATCCTACAAGAGCCATTTTCTCCCCATGAAACAGTGCATTTGCTGGAATCGGGGATATAGGACGACTACAGTATATAACTCTTATATAAGCTGACGGATCAAAATAAAGTCCTTGTTTGAAAAACTCTCTTATTTGAAATATTATCTTTACAAAATTCAGCATAAATTAATTTCCAAGGCAACGCCACAATATCTATTCGTATTGTTTGTCGATCAAAGCAAAATTTTTGTTTGGAAAACTTTTTTATTTGACAAGGTATCTTCACGAAATTTGACATGGGGTACTATTATTTTATTTTAATGGTGTTATCTTCGCATAACTTGTTCAGAAAGGAACACTATAGCATATAGCTGCATTACTTCTTAAATGAGCGGAGTTTTTTTTTTTATTTGACGATATATTCTCAAAAAATTTGGTTTCAATTTATTTGACTGTTTACAGAAATATTAATCTCCAAATAAATTTTTGAGATCGGACTACTATAGCATATAGCTGTCATACAAGCTGAGCTCTCGAATGGAAAATTGTTTTTTGGGAAGGCTATTGAAGCACCGATGTCCAGTTACGGAGAAATTCCACAATTTCTTCCATTTTTTGAGCAATCCTCGTAAATAGCAGATGAAACGACCGAGAAACCACGCTCGCCTTTGCACGCTTTGCAAACTTGCGCACACATATAGTAAGATAATACATAATAACGCGTAGATAAATATTTGAAATGTTGTTGCTGTTGTATTACTCGTACAACTTATTTCCAGCTTTTGTTTATTATTATTGTTGCTGCTGTTATGTTTCAACTAATACGTTGCCCTTTGCTGTAATATTTATATTATTCCTATGAAGGTTTACTTATGGTATATACATATATATGTATATTGATTTACGTTAAATTAAACACACACATTTGCAATTCTATCCATGCATAGCGTCCTTTGCTTTTAGAATGCGTAAGCAGCATTATCTGCTCAAATACGCCGGTGTATGTGTTGGCATTTTACTCCGCGTCGCGCATTTGCTGTGCAAAACGCTCTTAATAGCTTTTCTATTGAGGTTGATAATGATGGCGGCGTTTCGCTCTTTTCACAAGTGTTGTTAAATTGCTGGTGAAGTGGTGTTGTTGTTAGTTTAAAGTGCGCTAAAAGTTTTTGCCATCATTGATGAAGCGCTGTTTTGCGCAGGTTTTTGAAATCGTTGTTTTTGTTGGTTTTTCTCCACATTTGTAAAATAATTAGCTATAAATATAAATTATTACGGATTGCAGTAAAGTTTATGGCTTTAACGGTACCACTAATGATAGTTTGCGATTTGATATAAGTCATAGTTTCATAATTTTATGGGGATATTCTACTCTAGAAATCAAATTTTGGGCATTGTTTTGAATTTTATTAAGAAACAAAAAAATATTTTTACTGCCCATTTTTTATGGTGTCTTTATTGATATTTTAAGAATAAAATTCAATCGTTCT